AAATAATTAACATGATTTATCTACCAGAAAATCAATTATTGATGGATAAAATAATACAGTAGATATATTTCAAAGTTTTACTAAATCAATTGCTGATTGAAGCTTTAATCTTGTAACGGGTTATTCTACTCTGGAACTCAGATACGAGTTAAAAATACGCTTTGGCCTGGACATACAAAAATATAGGCACACTTGTCAGTCAAAACTTTATCAAAAATGTCAACAATATTTTTAAGTAAAAAGCCCGAATTATGTTGTGAAAGGGCGTAAATCACACTACAAGAGATAGATAGTAGGGTGGAATCGATTTCACACATAAGTAAGCATAGAAACCAATATTTTCACCAAGTTCAATTATGATATCAGCACCGGCCTAAGCACACATGTTTATAAAACCGGCGTCACTTCGTTCTTCGCAAAGTTCCATCTTAACTTTTTATTTGATCTGAGTCTGGAATTAATCCAGAACCCAAAGATGGCCTCCTGTTTTTTTTCATCTGCATTCTTTTCACAGACTATGTGTATCGTTTTAAAAAATCATCCTGCATCCTAAAGGGTTCCATCGTTGCATCCTCTTCTGACAGCAGGGTTTAGCAAAATAAAAAAAATTGATTCCCTTACACAATATAGTTATTTCATCTTAGTATGATAGAATAAATTGTTTTAGTGAGTAATTTTAATATGTATAGCTCTATGTATATCGATTTTAATTTAAATTATTGCATGTTTACTTTAATTTTATATTCACAGGCGTACACAGCACAGACTAATTTATACATAATTAGAGCTACAGTAATGTTAGAATGTAAGAACGCCGATTCAATTTTTTAAAACCACAACATGTATATTCACGTCAAATTATGCATAGAGACACTTGTGAAGAGACATCAAACGTATCGAGTATGTTATTGACGTCTCAAAACATTCCTTGCATATCGGTAATGAGGACAAACAAATTCCTAACCAAATGTGAAAACTCTTCAATTCGTCTATAACATTGTATCTAACGTACTCATTTGTTCATGTTGAATCTGTTGTATAGTGAAATTGAGAGGAAAGGAAGCCTGTTTGTAATCTCCTAGTCTCTGTTTATCAAGTCGCACGACTTTCTCGTTTCATATGATCCGAGTTTTATAAATATCAATGTTATCGAGAGACAGATCTCAGATGATTTGTTTTTTAAACGTAAATTGTCTTGGCGTATTACGAGTATAACTGTTACGAATATTTTTGAAGTTATTGAAAAGAGTTATGGATAAGAATGGTTATTGAAAATTACAACAATCCATTCAAATTGTAAGAAAAGTTAAAAAAGCACAACTTATTTGGAAGCGACTTATAATAGAACATTATTTTTAGTATGTTCTATGAAATCGGGTACTTTTATAACAGAACTAACCTAAAAAAACACGATTTGTAAGTTAAGGTTCTGTTTTAGCCAGAAGACATGAATACAATTAGGAATACTCTTTATTACCCCGTTTCACAGGTTTAATATTTCTGTTGTGTTTAAATTGAGCCACTTTATTTTCACAAACGTTTGATGGCTACAAAGGTAATATGCTTGAAAATCTATATTACACATAATATGTATTACAATTATGTATTACACATAATAGTATAAAATTCTTGAACTATTTTATTAGTCTTATTGAATCAATAGCTGAGGAGTGTTCTCATCTTCATAAACAACAACATTGTTACGCTAATATTTATTGCAAGGAATCATCGACGATTATAACTGTAAATACAACTTAATTAGAATGCATAGAGACACGTGGTTTAATCTCTCTTTGGTTATTGAATCAAAGAAGGGCCTTAGTGTGACGTACATCACATATGATGTCTCGTCCTGGACCTAAAAAGGCAGCGGAGCGATGACAGCGCAGCGCAGTGCGGTGATATCACAATAGGGCTTATTGAGATCTATTGTAGAGATATTTTCGGTGGCACACTGTCCCGCTGCCGTTGTAAGACGTGGCCTTATATATTGCGGTGCTCATTGTTTAGAAAACGTAGAGGACGCTAAGGTTAATAATTACGCTGCGCTGAATATACATATTAATTTAAAAATTCGATACCAGTATAACTTAAACTTGTTACAGGCGATATGTAGATAGGCAATGAGTTTCCTGAACCTGCAAGGCACGTACGACAAGTATGCCATTTTGATGTATTTCTGGTTTTAGTGAAATCTTACGCAGTGATTGGAACTCATTCAATACATTGTGTATTGTCAAGCCACCTGATCAAGTTACGTCAGTTAATGGTATCGGTTCATAACTCTTATCATCTTGCAGCAGGTGCGTAAGTTGTGTTAGACGTATTTCACCAACATACTCCGTTCGGCTGTGTTTTCTGTGATAGTAATGTTAATGCTTCTTTTTTATTTGGTCTCTAATGTTTTAAGAAGTATTATCTGCATGGTCAAGCATGTATAGAAATGGAAATTGTAATTATTTTAAAAGATTTCTATCCTAGTTTGGTTTTGTTCACGAAGATACATCCATAATAATGTAGCAGTCTAGGTTAACAAAAAATTTAGATCCTTTCGAAAGAGTAAATACATTGTTAAATGTTTATATGAAATTAAATTCCATCATTAAATTCCTTACATTTTGTATATGACGAAGTTTAGTTCTTTAAAAAAAACTGTATGCTTTTGTTAATACTGTTTGTAATAACAACCTGAGACATCTCACACGCTGTCCGTGTTCGTGTGCGGATGTCTCAGCCCAAACCTGAGCTTGTACTATGATAGCAGCAGATATGAGCAGACTGCTGATCTGATGAACATCTTTACTTAGAATAAAATGAAGTTCCGTCACGTTTTTGTACGCTTAGATCTCTCAAACTACTCAAAACTTATTGGTAAAAGTTTTAGATTAAAATATTTTATTTAAACTTACGGTTTTGTTAAAAACACTTTAAATGCGACACTAGGACATTTGGTGTTGTGTGAGGCTATACAAAAATTAACCGTTAAGTATTCTTGCTTGCCAAATATAAAAAATGTAATTATGTGTACAGTACTAACAGCTGTTATATATGTATGTCCTAAGTAGGTCATCATAAACATAAGGCTATAATTCGTTTGTACCCATGTACGGAGCCAAGCTTTGGGTAAAAATTAATTAATTAACCGTAACTACTTCAGTTGGCCAGAACAAGTCTCAATTTCTGTGCCTTTTTAGGACGTACTCAGGTGAGTCTCAATTTTCATTCTTCTTCTAATTCCGAGGCTTGTAGTTCCTAGCCTTAATTTACCGTCTTTCTTTATCCTGCCGTGGCCGATCATAAAAATAACCAAAACTCCTATACTAATACTGATTGCGCCCTCGCATGCCCAAAAAAGAATTGAGAAAAGGGCAGAAAGATGATGATGAGTAACTCATGGCATTAAATATTAAATAAATATTGAATTTTTGATGTGACTTAACAGTCAAATACCGTATTTAAGTTGTGATCAGAAAACTTGATCAGAAATAAATTGGCATAGCGGTTTCTTATTAACATGATAATGGATGCATGCATTAATCCATTACTGGCCACGTCTTCGTGGGGATAACATCCATTACTTGGTATCGTAACCATAGTATAAAGAAGGCGAGAAATGGTTAACCAATACTTTTACCTCTGTAATTATAAAACAAAAGCAAAGTCATTAGCGAACAAATAAACGTAATGACTCACTTAACAGTTTAGGAAAATAGAAAGACTATAATGAATGCAAAAAGTTGTGTGTTTACTTAACAATTAATATTAATATTGTTCCAATATCTTCTAACAAAATCTAAATAGTAGTTTGTATGCCTGGTATTCCGTATAAAAATGATGACAATGTAATTAAAATTTGTGAATATAGCTCTGAATATTTAATTGTTTTCGTTTAGGATTAGATATTTTAATGATATTTGTAGTCTAACATATAAAGTGTATGTAATTTTGTATACTGGCTAGCAAGAGTTATCTAAAGGGTTACGATGGACTTTCTATTCTGTGATTATATAAGACTTAAAAGACACTCGAAGAAGGATTTCCAAGTGTGTGTGCCTTGACTTCTGATTAGTTCTGATCTACCCTCATGCAGCTTAATATTATGTATTATTATTTTGATTATGTTTTGCCCACGGATATTTTAATTCTTACTTCCTCAGAAATCTTAGTTTTGCCTCTGATGTTTGTGTATGACATTCCTGTCGTTCGTATTTATTACTATGCACAAAAAATCGTTGGTTCAATACTCCGGTACTGTAGAAGAAACAAAATACTAAGCGAAGGTGTCTATGGGCGGCTGTACTTACTTACCATCAGGTGACCCATATGCCAGTTTGCTGTTCTATGTCATAAAAAATACATTTTTTTTATATTTTTTGTGATAATTATTTATTGATTCATGCAGGATATATTTTCATATTTTTACGATTACCTTGGGATACATGCGTGTTAGGAGTCGAATCGTCCGAAAATTACCAGTACACAGTAACGCAGACTAAAACGAGTACCTATTCAAAAATCAAGAACAATAAGATGACCATTGTTTTGGTGAATGCTTAGCACCACGAACAAAACCGAATCTAAATGGTTTATGTGGCTAAGAATTTTTAAAATTTTGATGGAATTAACTGCAATCGAGACATCTATAGATTAAACTAAATTGATAAGCGCGATATCTAAACCTCTAATATTAAATACAAATAGTCCAAGTAGTAGCATTTACTTTAAGTGCATTGAACTTCCGTTTGCGGCATAGGGAAAGGTGTCAGTAAATTGTCAAATATTTCAAGTTTTTCTAAGATTTTGAATCTCATGTATTTCAATAATTCTAAGTAAGGTAATAAAGGAAACAGTTTCTGTAACAGTGAAAACATTACTTTTTCAATCTAGGTTGTAATTGCTTTTAAACTGTAAATTACTCAGGCAATGCTTATATACTCGTAATACTACAATGGGACGTTTAATACCAACGTTGTCTACAATGATAAAAAAATTGCACTTACTTCGAATGTGATAACGCCTTTATCTCCGTATTTATTAAATATTTTGTCAATGAAGTACTGCTCAGCGGGTAGGGTGTTGTTAAGGTCAACTTCAATAGATTGAATGGTTCCGATGTCCGCAGCGCTGGCGAGCATTACCGCCAGGACTACGACGACGCACGATGTCAACATGGTCGCGACTGATTGTCAGCGCACACGCCCGAGAGCGCCGGCGGCTAACCCGCGCCTCTGCACTACACTATCAGCCGATCAGCCTCAACACTGCTTCGTCCAACGTGATAATAAGCGTCGCGTGTCGCTCGCGCATCGGCACACACAACTCCTTTGTTTATTTATTTGAAAATATCATTAACCAAATCGCAAATTATAAGTAATGCTAGACGTCGCTGTTGAAACGTGTTTGTCACTTGAGGTCAGGTATGCGTCTGCGACTATGGCCTGCGCTGGCTTTCACTCACCCGTCGCTCTCTGGAGGCTCTTAGGCCGGTTGTGAGCACCGTTACTGATAATAAGGTGTATTTACGTACTATCTGGTATTGAGAAAACCTAACAATTATGCTGTTTGAATTGAGGAAAGATCGGTTACTGTTTGTCCTTGCGCTTGAGTAGTGTTCACCAGTGTGCTATTAGTTATAACTTCTGATGAGGGACTATTACAAATCTTGCATGAACTTCAAATTAATACGTCGATTTATTTGCCTATTATATCTGGACAAACATATTTTTCATTTTTTATCAGTTTATATTATAGCTACTTGGGTACCTAAAAAATATTGTGGAAGTCAACAAACAGCCGTGTAAATAGTGCGGAGGTTCATTCATGAGCAACTGTGTTTATCGTATGTTAATAAAATAGGTTGTTTGGTTTTACTTTACAAATAACTGTTGGTAGATAGATAGATATAATGTCACTTAACGAGTGAATTTGATGTATACTTCCTTTGTATAGTTTGTCAACTCTTTTGTTTTTGCAAAGAACAATGTCAAATTTTTGATCTTATAAGTGTTTGTTATTCTAAACACATGTCTCGTATACGTGACACGTTTGCTGATTTACCCAAAGGTGCATGTGTTCCCTGATTCATGCCGAGGTATATTGCATCTCATAAAAAAACGATTACAAAGACAACTTGCTGTTGAGTTATGTAAGGTTTGCTTTGTAAAATGAAAGAGTTACAACATTGTAGGTCACGCATTTCGAGAGAGTAATTGTCGGTTACGCTGAATAAGCGCAGTTTGATAGGATTCAGTAGCCTAAGCAAAGATAAAAAACATTGAGATAATTGATCTGCAAGTACTTACATTGATTTGTTTACACAGGTGCACGAGGTTGATTAGAAAGTAGGTCATACATCAGTGGATAAAATCATTAGATTATGCCTTTCTAAACCGAAGCATTCCAGTTTCAATTATTTAGAAGTTTATAAGTGCACACGTTCAGGTACGATAACATATGACACTAGTCTAAATGGTGATCCCAGATAAAGGTGACTCAATCGTGAATCTAGTCTTAAAACAAATTTTAAGTACAGATTTATTTTATTGAACGGCACTTAAAGCGGGATTCACCGATCCATACTCAAGTGAGTAATAGCTTTTTTAGAACGATGTTAATGTCGAAATCATTACTCAGGTGCAGATTGTGACAGCTGTGATCTTTTTGACAAGCTGAAACTAATCTCAAGCGGTGATTTCTAGGGCATTTTAGGGGAAATGAATGTGTTTCACGATGATTTGTTTCTGAATAATTACGAAAGATTTACTTTACTTTACGAAAGAATTACTTGTCATACTATAATCAATTCACTTTAATTAACCTTAATTGATATACTGCAATTCACTGCAATTCACATTTTACACACACAATACTTGTTTAAATTAAAATCACCACAACCTTTCGGTTTATGTTAAAAGCAAAATATTATTCTAGTAATATAAATTTTAGAAATATAAAAATAAAAACATTGTTTGACATTTCAACATGACAAGTGTTGATAAATAACTTGAACGTTATGTTATACTAGATATAGATGTTATAGCCTATATCTAGTCATTTTCCGGCGAACTCTGTTCCGCCTTAAAGGCAATAAATAACCGGTTTTCGAATTTAGTAAGTTAATTTTTTTCTTAGAAAAAATCTTCCGTCTTTGAAAATTCTTCGATGAAGCATTCCAAGTATAATAACGTGGCATCTCCGAGTAAACCAAAGTTCGTGCAAACTTTTTTTTTTTTCGGAATAAATAGTATCCTATGTCCGTCTCCTGGCTCTAAGCTACCTCCTCACCAATTTTCAGCCATATCGGTAAAGCCGTTCTTGAGTTATAAATAGTGTAACTAACACGACTTTCTTTTATATATATAGATATAGATGTTATAGCCTATATCTAGTCATTTTTATTTTAATGTTTACTGTTTTCAATTTTGGACGAACAACAAACTTGTTAATATGTTAACATTGCTGCACTAGCCAATTGTATACTATATACAAATTCACAGAAATTATATTTGAAAAAAAACATGTTTTAAATAATCAGCTGCTACGGAATAATAATGTCAATCTTGCAGTAAAGTAATTGAGAGCAGACTGTATAGCCCGAGGTCGATAATTTTTGAAACCAAAAAAAGGATATATAGTAGGATGAAACCCAGTGGAAAAGGAAGAGAATATGACTAAAATGAAAGGCAAAATAATTTACGGGCGATCTGAGGTCGGGAAGCAGAAGTGGGTTAGTTTTTAAGGGTAAAAAAAAGGGTTTATCTCGATTTTCGGCAAAACTACAAGTCCTATGTAAAAAGATCTACAATTTTTGTATTTACACTTTTTTCACATAACCTCAAAATGTATGTGAAAAAATCAAAGAACCAAGTCTTTAGTTTTTTATTTTTCTTTTACAAAAAAAAAATATTTACGAAATTCGGTGAAAACTTACCTTTTTGTGTCCCAAACACACTGTAATTTTATTATTTCAAATATTTATATTTTCACATTATTTTGACTTAATATCGAAAAACACCCTAATTTTGAATCGAAAATTCTGCTTTATTTATGAACATTTTGAAAATATCTGCTTTTAAAGAAAAGTCAGTGAGCTTTTTGTTCGTTAAAATCTTTACTTTCGGATGGTGTAAAAAAAAATTACTATGGTAAATTCTCAGTTCGAATCCGATTTTTTTTAATCGTTATGTATAATTTTGAGCTATTTTTTAAAATTTACATTTTAATTACTCGAAAAACGTAAGATTCCATGTTAGATTGATAAACAAAAAATTGCAAATCGAAATATACTACTATAATTAAAGATCAGGATCTAGTTCCATCACATGGCGTAATTTCTCACTTTTAGTTGAGCCCGTGTGACGGCAATAGACAAGCTCTCCATTAAGTAAGAAGAATTAAAATGTAGTTGGCAAAATCTGCCTACGGTTTAGGGGAAACAAGCTTGACTGTTAATTGAAGAAAACAATTGTAATAACTAACATTTTGATGGAACAGTCGTAATAAATGCAAACCAGGCAAGCACGGTATCATAACTCGGTGTGTTCGTGGGTCACTGCTGTTGATCCTGGTGTCATCATCATCTGCCTACCCTTTTCCCAATTTTATTTGGGGTCGGCGCAGTATGTATGATTTTTCCATTCTACTCTGTCATGCGTCATCTCACTGTTTACTCCCTTGCTAGCCATATCCTCCCTCACGCAGTCCATCCACCTTTTCTTCGGTCTGCCTCTTCTCTTATACCCTTCAACTCTCATACCTAATACTTTCTTCGCCACATTTTCCTCATCCCTCCGCATGACATGTCCATACCAAGATAACCTATTACTTCTTAACTTTTCATCCAGTGGCGCTACTTTCAGGCTCCCTCGTATATACTCATTCCTAACCTTGTCCATCTGAGTCACACCACACATCCATCTCAGCATTCGCATTTCGGCTACGTTCAGGCGTCTCTCATCCGTTCTCTTAATGGGCCAACTTTCAGAACCATACAGTACGGCAGGTCTGATAATAGTTTTATAAATTTGTCCCTTCAGTTTTAAGGGGAAACTGGGGTCACAAGTTGTTCCCGTTACCTGTCGCCACTTCATCCATCCCGTATTGATTCGATGCTGTACAGTTCGATCAATCCCACCATCACATTGTAAGAGGGAGCCGAGGTACTGGTGTACAGGAGTTAAAAAAAAGTCCCATTAAAAAAAGGCCCATTAAAAAAAAGGACGGTATCAATATCAGAATTAGGTACTTTAGTGTATGAAAATTGATGTATAATGCCACTCCGAGTATGATCATAATCATAACAATAAAACTGTTAACATAGTCTTATAAACATGTAGTAATTAAATTAATGCTTTTGCATAACTTTGTCACAAAAGTGATTCTGTTCAGAGAGAGCGGGGTCAAATATCATTCAGTATTTTACAGACATCCCGTCAGCTTTGCGATAATATATATAATATCAGATTTATATAAATATTATAAATATATTTGAATTCAAAACGTTATATAATATAACGTTTTGAATTCAAATTATATCTTAAACTCTGCTACTTTAAACGTAAGTTACTATTTTATTACCTAGTGGATGTAGGTTTGGTACTTTTCTTAACTGTTATCTTAAAAATTTAACTCTAACATTTATGTGTTTACTTATATTTCATTAAAACATAACACATAAACATTCCGAGTCTGGTAACTTAATACTGCCGCGTAAATTACTAATTGTTACTTAATTTGTTAACTCACTACATTTTATACTGCCCATATCAATATTTTAGACATAATATTTTTTTATGGCTTGCAATAGTTCTTAAAGCTATACTACGAGTACTGCTAGTTATATTACGCTTTTAGGTCTTTATTCAACGAAGTTACAGCGAAGTTTAAGGTATATCCCGCGACTTCGTTAGCTTGTTTTTTTCTTATTTCAAGTTTCGTCCCTTATTTTATCCTCCTAGGGGTGAAATTCCTAAAACTTCTTTCTTTGTGGGTGGTTACAACATAAAAAGTATCAGCTACCCAAATTTCAAGTTTGTAACGCCAGCGGTTTAGGCTCTGCGTTGATGAATATCTCTATGTCTATCGTTCAGGACAAGTAATTTTATATGATTTATATGTTTAGATACCAAGTAATTTGTTACAATAAGGTACTTTTTATAAATCTACAATTTAG